CTTTTACACATATATATATATATATATATATATATAAATTTTAACAATATATATAAGGTGTCAAATAATTAGATCAAGCTAACAATATATTGATTATTGAATAGCTCCACCATTGACTTCAAATTTTTACTATTATTGTCCACAATGGTTGCACCGCTTACAAAGGATAAGAAAACAATATATTGCACTGTCTTTAATTTGCTTCAAAGTTAAGAATGATAAATACTACTTATTAATTAAGTTTTATTATTTTAATACTTTGTGAAGTCTATAAAAGGAAACATATGCATATGCATTGCAACAGAGTAAATCATTTTGATTGAAATCCTATTAAATCAATTGTGTGAATTTCAAAATCTCCTCCTCACTTTCTCTCGTTTTCGATGTGTGTGTAGATAATTTTATTCTACTGTTACTAATTGGCATTAAAGATTGAGAGCTTAGTAGTAGTGTGAGTAAAATAAAAACATATTTAAATGTGTCATGAATAAGAGGGTTCTTACTTTGTAAAAAAAAAATAGAGTTGTTATATTTTTAAGATAGAGTCAATTATAATATTATTTGGCCAGGCCTCAAGTTAGATAAAAAATTAAATTTTAACTATTGAGAAACTTTGATTGTTACACATTTGAGAGCTCACAATATTTGAAGCTTTAAAGAACTCAGACTAGTAGAAGGAGCTGATGATGTTGCTAAGAGGAGAGATAGTTGGCACTGTCATATATTCACCAAAGAGTAGATTATTCTATTTTTGCAAAATTGTTAGTGCTAAAGCTGTCAAAGAAGCGTGAAATATTTTAAAGTTGTCACATAAAGGAGTAGAGAAGACTCAAAAATTCAAATTGTAATCTTTGCAAAGGGAATGTGAAAGATATGAAATGTCCAATTATGAATTCGTGGAACAATAATTTTCATGTGTTATAGATCTCGTCAATAAGATGAGAGTGTATGGAGAAGGTATTCTTGATAGTAAAGTGGTGGATAAAATCCTTCAGATGATGCTGATGAAGTTTGATCATGTGGTGACTACAATAATTAAGTCTCAAGACATAGACACCATAACTGTAGTAAAGTTGCAAGGAAGGATTGAAAGTTACATGAGCAAAATCTTGGAGAAGATAAAAAATAAATGAATAAGCGTTAAAATGTCAAGTGAATCTCAACCATGTAGCTAAAACTAGTCAAAACACAAAAAGTAAAGGTTGTGATAATTACAACAATGGAGGAAGAGGAAGTTGCAAAAAAAGAGATCGAGGAAACTTTAGAGATAGAGGACGTGCAAATTTCAATCAAGGATGAGATAATAATTTTATATCATTCAATTAAGGAAGAAGAGGAAATACTTTTGGTGTTGTCAACCATGGAAAGGGACGTGATTATAATTACCAACAAAGAGCAAATTTTAATTGTTTCTATTGTGGAAAATTTGGACATAGAGCTACAAATTGTAAATTTAAACAACAAGTGCATGTGGCAAAAAGTTAACACAATATTGGTGAGAATTTTTATAACCCATAGTGTTTATTTTTAGCAACCAATACATTTTTCAAGGATGAAAATATCTGCTATTTGGATACTGGATGTAGTAATCTTATTTGTGGAAAAAATGAGTTATTTTCATCTCTAGATGACACAATAGTAGAATCTATCATGAAATTTAGAAAAAACACAAACATTCCTATTTTGGTGAAAGGCCAAACTACTATTAGATTGAACGATGATTCACAAAATTTTATCTTTGATGTTTTTTATGCTCTTGGTCTTCATCACAATTTGTTGAGTATGGGACAACTGTTAAAAAAAGGTTACAACATGCAGATTCATCATGGATACTGCACATTGATAGATATAAATGGAAGATTTATAGCTAAGGTAAAAATAACCCCCAACTGCCTATTCCCTTTGAAAATTTGTGATGAAAAGTTTTCTTGCTTGAGTTTTATTATTTCCTGTGATAATTGGTTGTGACATATGTGCTTTGGACACTTTTACTTTTCTGGATTGAATTATTTGTCAAGAAAAGAATATGTTTCTAGCTTACATGTTATGAATATTCCTAATGGTGTGTGTGAGATGTGTGAGATTAGAAAGAAACTCAAACAATCATTCATACTTAGAGTATCTTGAAGGGCAAAGAAGCTATTGGAGATAGTTCATTCATATCTATGCATTGTTGAGATCTGAATTCATGATGGTAGCAAGTATTTTATTACTATCATTGATGACTTTAGTAGAAAGACGTTGGTACATTTCTTAAAGAAGAAATCAAAAGCATGTGATGCCTTAAATATCTTAAATATCTTGCTTATACAAATTTCTTTAAGCAACATGGAATTCAACACCAACAAACTACTAGATACACTCTTAAAAAAATGGAGTTGTTAAAAGGAAGAATAAAACAATCATGGATATGGTGAGATGCATGTTAAAGGGCAAACATATGCCTAGAGCATTTTGGGTAGAAGCAATTATTATTGTTATTTATATCTTGAATAAGTGTCCAACAAAGAGTGTTTATGACAAAACACTGAAAGAAGCTTGGAGTAGAAGGAGACCATTAATCAGACATCTTAGAGTTTTTGGATGCATAACATATGCACATGTCCCAAATTAGCTTAGAATGACAAAGGAGAAAAATGTGTTTTCATTGGCTACAACTCAAATTCAAAGGCCTATAAACTTTACAATCTAAAGACAAAGAAGGTGATTATTAATAGAGATGTGACGTTTGATGAGAAAGGCATGTGAGATTGGTCTCCTAAATCTTAAAAGGAGAAAATGGTGATCTCTAACAACTATGAAGAATCAGAGGGACAACCAAATCCAGTTGCTGATGAACTAGAATTTTCTAATAGATCAAGGAGGCATTATCAACCACTAGCTAGATTGGAAGATTAAGTGACCTTTGAAGAAACCTCAAGTGATGAGAGATGGAGAAAAGTAATGGATGATGAAATTCATGACATTGAGAAGAATGAGACGTGAGATTTAGCATATTTGTCAACAGATAAAAGACCTATTGGAGTAAAGTGGGTGTACAAGATCAAGTTCAATTCCAATTGAGAAGTTGATCACTTTAAAATAAAGTTGGTGGCTAAAGGGTACAAGAAAAAACTAGGTATTGATTACTTTGAAGTATTTGCACATGTTGTAAGTAGGGACGGAGCCAGGATTTCAATACTGGGGGGCCGAGAATTGGAATGATCAAATGAGGCGCTACATTTTAAAAAAAAAAAAAAAAATTCCAAAGTGATACCACATAGCAGACCGTACCAGAAGTCCAAAAGTTGAATAAAAAAATAAATTTGGGTTATTCATTTAATTATACATATGAGTTTATATTAAAAATAGGGGGTGCCATATAGTAATATATATGTATATAAAAAAAAATTAAAATTGTTGGGGGGGCCGTGGCACCCGTAGGTCCCCCCTTGGCTCCGTCCTTGGTTGTAAGGTTGGGTACAATACATATGATTGTTTCTTTTTCGGCTTAAAATAATTGAAAGATATATCAAATGGATGTAAATATACATTTTTGAACGGTATTTTGGAAGAAGTATATGTTGAGTAGCCTACAAAATATGTAATAAAAGAAGAATAATATAAAAATCTATAGATTGAAGAAAACATTGTATGGATTGAAGCATACACCAAAAGTATGGTAGAAGAAAATTGATTCTTACATTGTGCATGATTTTAAGATATGTCTTTTTGAGCACACTCTATATGTTAAATTTATTAATCCTAGAAATATTTTTATTGTGTGCCTATATGTTAATGATCTAATCTTTACTAGCAACAACCTAAAGATGATTGCAAAATTGAAGGAGGTTATGATCAGTTGCTTTGAGATGACATATTTAGGTCTAATATCTTATTTCCTTGGCATTGAGGTCGTTCAACAAGATGATGAAATTTTTATCTCCTAAAAGAAATATTCAAGTGATATTTTGAAGAAATTCAAGATGAAGAATTCAAACCCAATTTTCATGCTAATTGAAGAAAGTTATAGTTGACAAGAGAAAGTGAAAGCAAAAAGAAGGATGCAACTTAATACAAAAATTTGATTGGAAGTTTGAGATATTTGACTGCAATTAGACTATATATAGTTTTTAGAGTTGGGTTGCATAGTAGATTCATGGAAGAGTCACATGTTTGTCATTTGCAAGGTGCAAAGAGAATTCTTCATTATATTAAAGGTACTTTGATTGATGGGATTTTTTACATTAATAATAATGATGTAAAACTTATTAGATACACAGATAGTAATTGGGCAAAAAACGTAGAAACAAAAAAAAGCATGTCAAGATACACATTTATCTAAATACTGATGTAATATCATAGTCTTTAAAGAAGCAACTAATTGTTGTACTATTTACCGCTTACTATCTACTACTATAGTGGAATATGTTGTATCAACCAATTTTGTTACATAAGCAATGTGGCTAAGAAGATCTTTAGAAGTGATGCACTAAAAACATAATACTATTGAAATATTTTGTGACAAGTCTGCAATTATATTAAATAAATATTCAATATTTCATAGTCATTCCAACACACATTGATATTCGATTTTACAAAATACGAGAATTGATAACAATAAAAAAAAATAAAAATTAATTATTATCTAACTAAAGAACAAATTACATATATTTTAATGAAACTATTGAAAATCAAATTATTTTACAAATTAAAGAAAATACTTAAAATGATGCCAACTTGATTTAAGTGAGACAACACCGAATTGAAATTTTTACCAAAGAAAAAAATGTATTGCGCCGTCTTTGATTTGCTTCAAAGTTAAGAATAATAGATACTACTTAACAATTAAATTTTATTATTTTAATACTTTGTACTGCCTATAAAAGACAGCACATGCATATGTACCACCACAAAGTGAATGAATATTTTGAGTGAAATCCTATTGAACCAATTGTGTGAATTTCAAAATCTCTTCCTCCTTTCTTTCTCTCTCTCTCGTTTTCGATGTGTGCATGTGGATATTTTTATCCCATTAATAATACAAGGTATCAATTGTCATTATAATTTCTTTTAATAGAGACCCAAAGAAAAATTTTATGGTCACAAAAAAATCATGGCCATTATGTTACTTTAAAGAAAAAATACAAATAATATATTTTGAGTCAGTTTCGATTTACTCTATAGCTTGAAAATTTTTTTTTTTGAAATTTTTAACATATACATAATGATCTCTTTATGATGAAAAAAATTATTTTTAAGATATCTATTTTCATATGAAGTGAAAAGAGAACACTCCAAAATTAATAGGGATTTGAATAGTCTGCGTGCACAATATGCTAAGTTTTAACTTTGTGATTGTATAAAAAATACAAGTCAAAAGAGTAAATTCAATTATACAAAAACAAAAAAGTCAATATTTAATGTCACAATAATCACTTAAAAAGCCACATTACTTTTAAGATATCTCATTTTCACATTAAAAAAAAAAAGACTCACTAAATACATTACATCCGCGTATAAAGGCATGTCAAGTAAGAAGTGTTTGATATATGAATATCGTGAGGCAGTGAAAATAATATGCTTTGATCCTTTTTAGATACCTAATAAGATGCCCGCAAACAGTATTGAATTTTAATGCACGGTGTCTATGAGATACAAATTTAAATGTAATTTTGAAAGTTTTTCTATCGAAAAATATTCTTTATTTTAGATTAAAAAAAAAAATTAAAAACCCTTTTTAACTTTTATCTATAGAAACTATATAATTAATGTCTGTTGCTGACATCAGAAGTTTAATTGATTACTACTGTCAAGAATGGCCATAATTCTTTGTCAAGGGTCTTACAAGGCCAATTGCTGTTAAGAGTCCAAGTATTCCACCGACAATGACCTGCAGAGTTAAGCCATAAGAAAACCATCAGTGGTAAAATAATTGGCCATTGCAATGAAGATCATTCTCAAGTCTTGATATTAGATATTATAAGGGTCTCCCATTTGCTCCTTTCACCAAGATGTTACAAGACATTTGATGTCAGAAGTTCCCATAATGAGTAACATAAGAAGCTTGATGTAATACTTAACATTTCATGACTCAAGTATTACATCAAATTTTTTAAGCTGCTCAACATGCGGCACTTAACATTTCAGGACTTATATCTGCCCAAACAAGAACATATCTTTTGTTTTGGCACATTATTGTTGCAATTGAAAGGTTCATAATTCACTTGGCATTACAAAATAAGATAGTATGAGTTTGATAGAATACTGTATGAAAACTGAAATAAAAGTACATAACCCTGCGAAGACCTCAGCCCTTAACATTCCAAAGCAGTGTCATTTTATGGTTCACTGAATTTCATTGGTTAAACTAAAGTGCATCACATAATTATAGGAACACAATCAAATGAAAAATACAACCTGAGGGGGTGTGTGCCCCAGAAGTTCGCGAAGTGGTCTGCTTTCAGCCAGAGGATGCTCAGCAGGAAGTTCATACACAATTTGGTTTAAAACCTGAAAAAATCCATTCATTCAAATTCAATAAAATCCACTGAAACCAACTAAAACAAAGGAGCAAAGCTGTGATGCACAACAATCATAGGCAAACAGAAAAGGCTTCCATGGCATTCGATCTCTCAGATATATGGTGAGAGAAATAAATCAGAAAAATATTGCATAGAAGAAAAGGAAATGACAAACAATGTCATAGCAGGAAAATGTAGACGGGCAAGCATCAAACCTCTGCTTGGCGTCCTGCTTGTAACCTTACACCAGTAGCATCATACATCACCTGCCACCAATATCCTTTTGAATAAATTACACCGACACTCGTGAAATTGCATAAACACTGTACTTTTTCTATCTCTATAATAACTTTTTAATTATTTTAAATATATTATATTAACATCCTTTAGATATTATTACACTACATATTCTGAGGCTTTGTAAAATTACACTGACACCACATTTACTCTATCTTTTCAGAAGTTAACACAACCAACATTACTTGAGTTTCTCATTGTCTAACCTAGGTGCCTGTTTAATTGTTTTTGGGACATCAAATGCTTTTTAAACAGTAACAGCAGGTCCACATGGAGCAAGAATAGATTGAACATTACTGTTGATTCATCACAGATTATAATATTAGCAAATAAAATATCAAGCCTTTTAAGAAGTCATCACTATTGATTTATTTGAAGAACTAAAGAGAGAAGCCATACTATACAAGCGAAAACCAAGGCAATAGCAAAAATAGGGCCTCCAAAGCCTTCCTGCAAGCCAATGGCACCTGCAAGGGCTGTCACTGTTGCTGAATGAGAAGATGGCATACCACCGGACCCAACTAATTGCTTTAGATCCCATCTTCCTTCCCTAAACCTGCATATCTAAGAAACATCAAGACTTTTAAACCATCTTAACATCTCCACTTATTTTTAAAGATATTTTATAAATATCCATACTTTAAATGAAAAATTAACCCTTTCTCTTTGAACCATTACTTCCAAACATACCCTTACACCTTAATTAAAACTTTTATGATACATATGTATATTGTTTTTGTTTTTTTTAGTTTAGTTTATTAAAAAAACTTCACATGTCTATGAATATGAGAGATGTGCTGAGAACTTGAGGTCTTGAACTACACAAGATTTAAGTGTTGAGGAAAAATAAAGGAAGAAATTAAAAGGGAATACCAACCAGGTGGTGAAGAACTTGATGGATTGGGCAAGAGCAAACGCAACAAAAGCAGAAATGAGAGGGTAATTGGAAAAGATTGATGAGGTTGAAGAATGCATGACTGCAGCCTCAACCATAGAAAGTTGAGAATATTGGAATCTGTATAGCCAAGGGATCTAAGAAGGCTTAGTCTTGGAAGGAACAAAAGAGAGTCATTTGAGAAGAAAGATGAAATAAATGATAATCTCACGTTAGTTGGGTTGCTTCTTTTTTCTTCCAAATGCTAACTAACGGTCATACTTTAGCTTTCACACCTGAATATACTTCTCTTGTTTAGAATGTTCAAGTAGAATATGCTTATATGCCCCACTTCATTTTCTTTTAACTTCAAAATTATTTTAAATTTAGAAAATAAGAATTTTAAACTTGAAGTTAAAGTTGTTTAGTAATTTGATAATTTTATTTTGCAAAAAAAAAAAATCATCTTAGAAAGTACTCAATATTGAATTATTTTACTTCAAAACACAATATTAAATTCAAAGTTTTAAAATAATTAAAAATCTAATATCTTTAAATTTATAATAATATATATATATAATATTTCATTTTGGGGTCTAAATTATACTTTTATATTTGTATTCTAATTTTTTTTATATCAATATATATCTAAGGATAAAATAGTAAAAGAATGCATATACAATATTATAACTATTTTTTTGAAAATAGTAACTATTCACTTATTTTATTTTATTTTCTTCACAAATTCGTACCTTTTTCATTGCTAGTATATGAAAATAGGAATTCTCTAATAATATTATTTTTAATAAAATTTAATACAAATAATCACGGTAACATAATTTTTATTTAATAGTTAAATAGATAAAAAAAATTACATCTTTTTTGTAAATTTGACTGATGTATTTAAAATAGTTACCCAAAAAAATAAAACAAAATATCCAAATGGAAAACATGGTGGTACACAAGAAGCAATACACTATGGTAGAGCTGGTCAAACACATTGTTAAGTCTAAAATAAATCTTAATTTTTTTTTTAAAGTTTAATAATAATATCTTTTGATAAAAAGAAAAAAAAAATTTAAAAATTAAAATTAAAAAATGATTATATTTGTATATATTTTATAATAGACTTTTTAAAATGATTTTTTAAGAATACAAAATGTAATTTTTAAATAATGAACTTTGAAAAAACTATATAAATATTAATATATAAAAAATTTGAAAGAAGTCTAAAACAAAAACTTTATTTGTCTCATATTTGGACCGGCCTTAACTAAGGGACTATCAAATAACATTTGATAATGTCAAATGTCCGGCTCATATTTATTATTAATTTCCACTGCTTTTATATTATTCCTTTTTTTTTTTAATGCATGTGCATATTTATGAACAATTATTGTGTACTAAGTGGAAAAGAGACACTGTTAGCTTTCTGCATTACAAGTTAAAACTCATCTTTCCCTTATGGTATTACAAGTTAAAACTTACTTAAGAATGAAAATAACATGTAAATTCCATTCATATATACTTAAATAGAATAGAATAAACAATTTGAATATCACATGTACGTTAATAAAAATACAGTGAAAAGGACATGTTTTGCTATTGGCATTGAGTGCTACTGAAGAACGGAGAAGTAGAAACTAAAAATTGAGCTCATAAGCTTTTTCCTTCAGACCAGAGGCATCTCTAGGACTAGGATAAGGTGATAACAACAAAATATGATATAGAAAAGGGATTGGAAAATGCAAATGAATAGACAGATGAGGCAGAGTTTCAATTTCCTTTCGCTTCTGTCTCAGCTTCTGATGACAGACATGTGCTGGCCTGGTGCCACAATTACGACAACAATAACGTGTCACGAACTCCCTAATTCAAGTCCAACCTCTAGATAGGTCCCAAAAATTGATCTTTTTTACTTGGCCTTGGATCAATTCAGCTCTAGGAAGGATTCTGTTTAAGATTAGGGAACCGCAATCCAAATTTGTCAGATGATAAAATCGATCAATTCTAAATGATTAGAGCGTATCTTTTCCAACAAAATTCTGAAGTTCCGCCTTCGCTGCTTCCATCACTACCTTAAAGTCTATTTTCGTATACCTTCCCCTGTAATCCATAATCAGAAGTTCAGTTTTAAAACACTTTGCTCTACTGAATGATACAAAACCTGCACACTAATAAACAAAGTCAAACAAACAATAAGGCTTTGTTTGGATAACAAAAAAGGGGGAGATGAAAGTAACCGTTACTGCTAAGTGCTCACTAGATTTTCCTCCTCTATTATTGCTTTTCCAAATAAAAGGTAAAAGTTTGGAACAGCAAATCATCACTAATGTTTGTCTATTCATATTGACCCATGAGTATCGAATTCTAACTAAACTAAACGCGCAACAGTTCAAAGTCACCCAATTTATTTGCTATTATGTAGTAAGGTTATCAAATTTTAAAAAATTAATTTCAATGTACCAGAAATGAGTTTTACTCCATGCTGTTGACGGATAGGCTGGGCTTGCAATTCCATGCATTATTCTCGCAACTGCTCTTGGTGTAAATCGAGCCTGTGAATTGCTTTGCAGAAACACCTGGTGATACCCAAAGGAAAAGGTCATTTTTCAAAACTTTTCCATTTATGATATGTATCAATTGAATTTATTTAAGATTATCAGAGTGCTCAGCTGACAAGTTACCTTTATATCTGCCCGCAGGAAAGGGCTGCACATGTAAATACCACTAATTTTAGTACATGATCATTGTAGCATATAGTTTAAGAATTTACTTATCATCAACATAGTAGGTCGCTATTTGCCAGAGAATTTTATTTTTGACGTTTAAATAATCGATGGAATTTAAGCTCGTTAAGCTTAAAGCCATTTTAGAAGTCAGGTTAAATTTTGTTCTTCAGTACAGAAATTAGAAAGCACCTGCTTTGACCAATTTTCTTGCAGATATCAGCATTATCAACTCCAGAAAAGTAATCCAATATTTTCCGTTGCAAGCATGGTGTGTGATCGGCACCACTGCAACCTTGCATCTTATCACATAGATTTAATGCAAAATATGCAGCATTAAACATTGCATCCATTTTTCCTACCTATTAAAAAAATAGAACTATGAGACAATAAATATATCATTAATAACTTTTACATGAAATTAGACTATACAAACACAGAATGCCAAAATGAATTATCCGATCAGTATTAAGTCAAGGTTCAGAACTTCTGACTATTGAGAGGAATATGGGACAATATCATAATAACATTACAATTCAATTTTTGAATCCCAAAAAGGAAAACAATTGAGCAAAGGATACACCATCCTAGATGAACATATTTCAGAAAAGAGTTAATCACCTATACACTGCCAGTGTAAAATTTTTTTACACTGGCAACCAATTATATCCTTTAATTGTGTCATATCACTGTTAAAAGTAAATGTGTTTACAGTGACATGACACAATTAAAGGATATAATTGGTTACCAGTGTAAAAAAACTTTATACTGGCAGTGTATAAGTGATTAACTCAGAATAAATATGAAACAAGTTTCTTAGATTTTACTTACCTTACAATTTTCAACATCCGATAACCATCGGGTTATGTCTGCTGATAGAGATAACAAGTCTGCTGGGACTTCAATGATCCTATAACAGTAGGCCAAGTCCTTCATTTCATAAGTTATTTCTCCCATCAACTGAGAATATTTCACAAATAAAAATAATGAGGTCAGATTGTATTTATATTGCTTCCAATATCACACACAAGGAGGCTAGAGACAAATTGGTTACGTGTCTCAAATCAGAATTCAATTAGAAACATTTTACTTTCAAAAAAATTATAGGCAAAAATAAACTCTTGAGAAGAAAAAAAATGCATTATAGGCTACATCTTCATGCATGCACATACACAAAGACTATTTCCAGATCCTAACAAAATATACAGCTTCAGTGTATTGATTAATACATGTATCATGCGAAAGATTTTCAAAACAAGAAAAACCAGCAGGGTTTGTAAGATGATGATTACTATAATCAAGACATGAATCATGCTGTAACTCCGTAATTATTTATGGCTAAAATATTATAAATCTACAATATAATAACTTCGTTTTTCTTTCAATCATATTTGTCAGGAGTACTGTTGGCTAATTGGAGGTTTAAGGCAGGGGCAAGTATCGGAAACATCTGTGATTTGTCCTTCGGACTACTATCCAGAATCTAAACTTGGTAACTAACATTAACATTACTGTATTTATTCCCAGTTTCGTTTGAAAAATTTAAGAATGGCAGTGATATGAAGATATTTCCCATATCTACCTTCAATCATAGCATTTGACATTTATGCTTAAGGTGTAGTTAAGCAGAAGAAAGAAGACCTCTTATGCACTTTTTAAACATATTTGTTAAGCCCACATGCGAACTCAAGAAAAATTTAAATCCAATAATTCTAACCTTCAGGTCGTACAACTGATTCGTTAATTCAACTGCTGTAACCCCCATGTCATTTGCCACAGTTGGAATGTCAAAAATATATTGCCCCTGCCTTTTTTCAGATCTGAAAAATCACACAACAATGATTCAAATAGACAAAACTACGGGTGCAAGTAGAATTAAACTGCTTTTATAGTGATCATAGTCAGGTACCAAGTGTCCTCGGCAAATATACCTTCCCTTTATAGAAATTGAAATTTTGGAGTCAGACTCCATGTTGAAGTTTACGTTAACATAACTCGGAAAACAGTATTATCCCAGGGAAACAGGAGAAGAAGTTTGGAAAAGTGAAAGGCCAAGAAATGTAACACGCTTACTGTTATTACCAATACCTTTTCAGAATTACAGCCATAGCAGAAACCTTCTGGGCAAGTAACAGCGGAGGTGTCTGCAATAGTGCCAAAATTTAAAAGTATAAGCAACTAAGTAATTATTCAAACCATATTTAGTTTTCTAGATTTTCAGTTAAAAACTAACATAAGATTGAATTATCCTATCTGAATAGATTTACAGAGATAGCACTCATAAGATTGAATTATCTAGTGTGACAAATTCTACATGCAAAGGTGTGTCTGGCACGCACCTTGTGAAAAGCCAAAGTGCAAGTTACATTTATCTGTGGAAGTAACTGCAAGTACTGCACATCACCCAACTCCAAGCGTGTCAAAAGTGTAAGCATCACCTGGTAAAGGAAAATATAAGAGAAATGTTTAAAACTGTAGACAGACTAAAATAGGCAATGTATAATCATCTAGACTCTAGAGATTCCTTACAGGAATAGGTTTCATTACTAGAATGTAAATCTCACTTCTCACATAAATGGATAGATGACTGATACCTATAACTAGATGATTGTCCAAAAAAGAAAAAATCCTAATCACTGCACAGAAACCCACCCTAGTTTTATTTGATTATAAACTTGATCTCTTTGGTTTCACTTTCAAGTACTTAGCAAAGAGACAAAACAAAACCACATTTTTGTACAAATACAGAGATCACCTACAATCATAATATTACTAAAAAAGGCGTTTTGGCATAGCATGCATACCCCAGTGACCCTACAGATATCACCCTAACGATATTTCCCTAATCACATACAAAAACTTTGTAGCTACCAAAGTTTGAAAATTCCCCCCTACTAGATGTTATGAAACCTGTCTGAATTTTTAATTGAGAATCATTTGCCCGAGTTATCAAACTTAATAAATTTACATGAATAGTAGTATAGAGTAGAGGACCTCTTCTTTCATATCAAACCTGCGTGAAGCAGATTCTTTGATTAATGAACAGATTTTCCCACAGGAGTTTTTGTCAGTAGGAAACACTTCACGCAGAAATTTGTTCACTGCATATTCATCTACTCCTTCACTGAGGATAAAAAATTGCATTAAAGAACAATTCGACAGTGAGAAAAATAAAAAGTAAAAATCATTGTGTACCTGTACATTAAACTACGAAGTTTGAAATAAGTCTCATCATCATAAAATAGGTGACAGTAGGACAACCTCCCATCCCTTCCAGCACGTCCTATCTCCTAAATACCAATTCCCTATATTAAGCAAAGTATATGATAGAATATCTTGCTATGCTACTACTAAAGTTTAGAAGAAATCCTGTACCTGCACATACTCTTCCAGACTTTCAGGCAAACTGTAATGAATTACCTAAACACAGATAAGACAATGGAGTACCAGTATGAATTAGTTGACATGCAAGATCATTTATATTGCAATGCAAATATGTAGTGTGTAAAATACATGAGAAAAGTATACGAGTGATGCTTGAAAACATAATTTTGTAAATTGAAACTATAAACAAATGTAACTACCAGCATATTTGCATGAACAGAGACCAGGGAAAGAGCTCAGATATCCAAGACCATTTGTCCCCATTTTTGGGATTTTAACCTAAATAATAATCTTTGGAGGAAAAATCGATTGGTTCTGATGCAGCCAGACTTCAAAGGCTTGAAGCATAAGACACAACGGAAAAGCAAGTTACCATGCAACAACAGCACATTGAGATTTAGTGAACCATTATGCGTGTGTTTAGGTTTCATGTTGTAATCACGTTGAAACACTAACGTAATTTTAGGCAATTTTTCTTATGTTTGGTTTTACGTTGAGAAATATTTCAAGTCCAAAATTGATTGAGTTCAAGTATCTTTAGATAGCTTTTGCCGTTGGATAAAAAATTTCACCCACAAGTTTTGCTACTAATATGATTTTATAGTAAATGCATTTAAATATAAATCACATCACTTCAAAATCAATTTCATTCAAAATCAATTTGGTTATCGCTCATCCAAACACACTAATAGTGAACTTCTATTGTCATAAACCAGTTCATGCGGCTTACTGACAGGGAGTTAGGAACCATGGTGCCGTCATTGTACTTTTAATGGATAAAAAAAAAACAGTTCATGAAAATTAATGCAGAAAACCATAACATGTTGATAAATCTTACAGCTCCAACATCCCTTTTATCTAGTCCCATGCCAAATGCCACAGTTGCGACGACCTTCATAAAAAATACAAGGTATCAATTGACAAAAAAATAAAATGAGAACACAAAGAACAGCAAGCATATTACCCGTGCGAACTTATGTCCATGCATGGCTTTCAATTTGAACAAAGCAAGTGTGAACTTATTTCACAATCCATTTGACTAGTTTATACTTTTAAATAATATATTACAAATAATTGTTTTTGTTTTAAACATTGATAGTTATAATATTTATGAATAGATAGTTTAATTAAATTTTAATATTCATATTTTAACATTTTTTTAGTTGTCTAACTAAAACAAATCATAAACTAATTCAAACTCTACTAAATATCTAAAATTTTTAAAAAATATCCCAGCATAATTTCTATTCAATGTAGTATCTTGTATATATTTATAAAAACTGACATATAAAATAAAAAATGTTATTAATCTAACATTGACAAGTTACATTAAATAAATGCCATTCAAAAGTTTTCTTACAATTTGTAAGAATAGAATCAAAGATAATAAAACTTATGAATATTATATTGTAATAAAAATATATCAATTATATATAGAATGTTATGCTACTTATTTAAAGTTTAAACATGTATCATGTATGCATATACGTTTTATATATTTAACTTCAGAGCTTCTTCAAAAAAATATTGCTAAAAATATTGGGAAAAAATATCTAATTTATATATTTAATCAAAATGAAAAAATATTAGTATTTTTCTTGTAATCAATATTTAGTTTAATCTAAGACAAATATCTTATCTAATTCTTAAATTGTCCTATTTTATCATTTAAATTTGGATTTACTATTATCATATGAATAAATAAATTTAATTAGCAATGACTGTTGAAGTGAAATGTAATAAATAAATTTTAGAATTCACAATTTTGAAGTGCACATATTTTGAAAGAGAAGAAAAAGATAGGAGGTGACCAAGAGAAAATATTAATATTAAATATGATGACAATTGACAAGAGACACCAAATGGAAAAAATGTTAAACATTTCCCTTATTATATAATAGATAATATATAATATAAAAAAATGCACATGTCATAAATTCACAATATTAGTGATTGAAGCATAAAATTTGTCTCACCACTCTGATCTTGTTGGAATTAAACAAATCCTGTACATAGCTACGTTCCTTCGCAGTGATACCACTATGGTAACTCTACACGATAAGTCACAACAATCATCAGATTTAACCCTCAATGTCAAGGATTATACAGAAAGACATGCAATGTTAAAAGAAAATTTCGGAGCTAACCTTTGCCAAGATATTGTTATCATTCAAATATCTGCTAATTTGATCAGTTTCATACTGAAAAAAAAGCATCGTTAATTCTCACCAATATAGAAAACGTTCCAATATATTCAATTATCCACTATAGAATAAAATATTTTAAATCTAAGCCATAAGTATATCGCTAAAAAAAAATTCTGCCAACAATATTATACATATAAAATGCTCTGAGATGGAAGCGATAATTTATTGCAATACAATGACAGTTGAGTTAAGAAACCATAGAACATCCTGCACTTGAAAGTTGACAAAAAAAGACCATATACACACCTGAAATTTGCAGTATATGATGATGCTTTGAACTTCCACAAAAGGAGGAGACTTTATCAAAATCAGCAGGTCTTTCGTTCTATTATGTTCAAAGTATTGATATATAAGTTTAACTAAGTTCATATAACAAAAGCATACAAGCTGATGGCGAAGCAGTAAATAGAAGCATCTAACTTGCCTATTTCTGACCAAAGACACTGATAAATGAAAATTGTCCCTTAACTGCGCCTTCTGAATGAGATTTGTGCAAGGAATATCTAGAGCAGACATGATGGCATCTAAAGTTGTGGTTGTAGCAGTTGCTGTCATTGCAAGAACAGAACGAACATTAAGTGTCTTCTGAAGTAGCGATGCTCTAAGCCTCATAAACGAAGGTCGGAAATTGTGAGACCTGTAACAATGTTCAAAATCTCAATATCAACTGGGAAACAGATTAATATCACCAAAAGAAATAGGAATTCCCTCACCATTCAGATATACAATGTGCTTCATCAATAACAACAAGTGAGATGGCTGGCAAAGAAGAAATAGTAGACAAAAACTCTTCATTCAGAAACCGCTCCGGTGAAACAAAAAGCACCTGTATAAATTAAAATTCCAAACATTAGCTTTATGTCCATAAATAAACCTCGATATGCAAACATGTCATACAAGAATGGGTTGTAAACAATCAACACCAATGTATGCAAACAATCTGCAAGAGTAATCTAAACCAAAGTTGCATTCAAACATCCAGTTGTTGAAAGCCCTACCTTTATCTCCCCTTGTCGAAGTTGCTTGAATGTTTCAGAGGCTTCTTCAGGTGTCTAATATAATTAAACAAAAACAGGTGAAATCATGACATCAAATAGTAAGCATCATAGGAGGTGAAAGAAAAAAAATTAAGCTTTCTCAAAAGTTAATTTTTAACTTGGATACGTTTGGATAAACTTCTTTATAATCACTTAAAATAATAGGAGAGAAAAAAATAAGAAACAAAAAATGAGATAAACTTCTTTATAATTTGCTTATAATAGTAGAGAAAAAATAAGAAACAAAAAATGAAATAAATTTTTTCATACATTAAATTTAGCTTACGTAGTCATCTACATAAACTGATTCATAGAAACTCCTTTATATTAACTCCTACAAAACTTTTATTTTTAACTTGTACATAAGTTAATTTTAGCTTATTAAAAAATTTATTTCTTCCTATTTTCTTTTCCTATAAATACTTCTAGATAAGTTTATCCAAATACAGCCTTACTCATAAATTAAAAACAACTTTTGAAAAAGTTAAATAGAAACTTTTGAAAAGTTAAATAGAAGAGTCTCTATAAAAGTTGAAGACCATGATGTCATGAGTGTGTTTTTTGTTTCAACTTATGGTAAAAGCTTAATTCATTCTACCAAAGCATTTATTATTCATTCTACCAATGTATAAATCGAGAAGTTTATCTAAACAAAATTTATTATCCAAATTATACATTATATAATAACATATAACAAGGGAGAGGGTACAAGAGTATACAACACCTGAGTGCTGGATAGAAGACCACCCCTAATCACATGAGGCAATTGCCTTAGCTGATCAATCATCAAAGCCACCAATGGACTAACAACCAATGTAACCCCAGGCAAAATCACAGCAGGCAACTGATAACACAGCGACTTCCCTGCACCAGTCGGCAAAACAACCACACTCGACTTTCCATCCAGAACCATCTTAATCGCCTCAACCTGCCCTTCTCTGAAACAATCAAAACCATAAACCAATTTCAACAACTTCACCAAGTTCTCCTCCGAAGCCTCTTCACGGGCAGCGGCCGCCACCGCTTCCACCGCATCGCAATCAATCTCCCTCCTCTTGCAACCCCCTCTCTGCTTCAAATCCCCAACCCCCTCCTCTTGTTCCTCTTTCACACGCTCCGATTTGAATTTCCCTCTCTTGTAGTACTTTTTCCCGCCAAATTTCCCTCTCTTGTTCACGAACTTCCTCCTCCTGCCGCTCAAGTTCAGCTTCACGAAGTTCCCTTCCCCTCCGCCGCCGCTACCGCCGCATGTGCGAAACTTCGGACACGGCATTGGCGCGCTGGCGCCGATGAGGTTGGGATGCTGCATCTTTCCCCGCTTCCTGGTTTCAGCAATCTCAACCGCAGCGCGTGAATCGGACGCGGGGGGAGTGGGGAGAGGAGAGGTTGCGGAAGATTCTAGAACGAGGGGCCTTCGAATCTTCGTGAAGGAAGCGGAGTGAGAGGCGAAGTAACCGGCGGGGATGGTTTCGATGGAGGGGGAAATTGCGGGAACGCAATCGGAACGACGCCGAATTTGGAAGGGGAGATCGGTGAGGATGGAGAGTGGGGGTTGTTGGGCCGGTTCGGGTTTTGATGAGGATTTGGAGGGTTCGGAAGGGACTGCTTTTGATTTTGAGGGTTTGATTCTGACTCTGGATTTGTTTGAAACGACGAGAGGTGGTTGTCGTGGCGGTGGTGGTGGTGGAGATGGAGTTGAATGTCTTGGTGGAGTTGCGGAGACGTGAGATCCGTCGGAATCTGAATCGGACTCCATTTGAATTTTGTTGGGCCCGAGAGAAGACGGAGAAGAAGAAGAACCAAGGAATGAAGAAAAAGAAGCGAATAAAATATAGCTTGAACGAGCTTTCCCGCCAAATTTTTATTTATTTTTTTATATATATATAGAGGAGGTTTACCTAAATTTATTTTATTCGATAACTTATATTTTACATCAAATTTTAATGATTTAATCGTTAAATTTAAAGTTCTTAATACATAGATCAAATTTACAAATTTTTAAAAATTTGAAAGTTATTTGATACTTCGTTTCATTAATTCAAATTAAAGTATAAAATGATTTTATAATTATTTATCAATTTGAATTAATGAAATGAAGTATCAAATAATTTTTAAATTTTTTAAAAAATACAAACTTGATCTATGCATTAAAAACTTTAAATTCAACCGTTAAATCGTTAAAATTTGATGTAAAACATGAGTTATTGAACAGAATAAGTATAGATAGATTTTACCTTTTATTATTGACACTTACTCTTGAATTTTCTCTTTTGGATAAGTTAAGTTAAATATACATTTCTTGAATTTTCTTTTTTGAGAATAATAAAAAATTCTAACATCTATTTCTTGAAAGTATTATTAACACATATTCACCTTTTTTCTTTCCTCCCACTCTTCATTGTTTGGATTGACTCATTTGACAACAATAAAAGAAAACTCTTTTTGCAAGGTTGCATTAACTCTACCAACAAAAAAGGTCATGGTGGGAATTTTCATGAGCGTTTCGTACTTTCAAAAAATTAAATTTTGGAATTCTATTGTTATCTTTTTTAACTTAAATTATAGAAATCTATTTTTTAATTAATTGAATTAAAATTTATAATTGTATTTTTTTTATAACTTTAGTTTGATTTTTGGGCCTATTAGGCTGACAACATAATTCGAGGATTAATTTTTTTAAGATTTAATTATATTTTTAGTCATCTAAATTTAGGATAATTATTTTTTTTGTCTTCCAAATTTAAAATATTTTTAGTTCATATAATTTCAAAGAATAAATATTGTTTTAGTTCTTATATATATTATTCTGGTCTCTCAAACTTAAAACATGTGTTTTTAGTCCTCAAAATATATATTTTTATTTTAGTCCTTCAAATTCAAAATTTGTTATTTGAATTGATGTAATTTCAAAAAAAAATTATTTTAGTCCCTTGTGGCCACTAATAGCATAGGTGGCAGTGACAGATGAAAATAATTTTGTAGTATTAGTTAGTCTAATGTGATCCTAACGTTTTCAATACCCTCTTGAGTTACCTTGATGATTTACCACAATTCTTTGGCGATTTTGCAGCTACAAAATTTCTTGTATTTTGTTATAAACAAAGAGCAAATCAAGATGTATCTTGCTTTTGTATTGAGTTGTGGGGAGTTGTAATCCTCTTGCGTGTACTCACTCTGTACCTTAATAATTGCAACATCACCTCTTATGATGATCTACCAAAGGTGATATTGAGTGGACTTGATGAACATTTTCATTATATCCTTCAAATATGGGCAATATCTTTATTAAAGGTTGGAGGCCTCGTAAGAGAAGCTCCTTTTGACAGGTAATGTCCTTCACTACTTCCCATTTTAGGATATTTTCCTTTAGCATGGTTAGATGCTTAATCCTGTCAAGGGTTGAACTTTGATACTAAGTTGCGAAGAAAAGAGAGACACTATAAGAGGGGTTGAATAGTATAAATAATAAACTCCACTTTTTTGAAACAATGAAGTAGTAATAAGATTTTAGGACTGTAGACGAAGAGTAAAGTAAAAAGAATACACAATGTTGTTGTACTTGTTCGTCTTAACCATTGAGATTACGTTCAGTTCTTGATCAACCCAATCAAGTTCCACTATCTTTCACAAAGATACAAGTATTCTTTTACAAGTCATTTATGACTCAACCTAAGTGTTCCTTGACTTGCCTTTCAAAGCAACTACCCAATTATTTTTTTTAACACAGTCTCTCAAGACTTCAACAACCAAGTATTCTTTTACAAACAAATTTTTATAGGTTTAAAGTAATAACACAGTTAAAGCTGGGTAAACTAACAATGTTGTTTCGTCTTATTATCAAGATGTGATACAACAAATTAAGTGCAAGACTTTTTATAGAAAGAAATAAATGTACAATGATGTTCGTAAGTTTGTATTTATTCTTTCTTAATCTTCAAGCTTCTTTATATAGGTGTTTAATGAAGATGATCATTGCAAATTTTGAAACGTCTCTCACAAACTTGTTTTGTGTGTCTCATTTTCGTTCAATTTAGAAAGAAGTGTTTATTGGATCATTAAATGTCTATATTAAATGTATTTCACTAAATTGTCACGTTTTATCTAATTGATGAATCTATTTATCACCTTATAGGTACCAAAAGAGAGGAACCATGCGTGTGTCAATTCGAAGCAATTTTTGTTTTGGAAATTTTCGTGCTTCAAGGGATATGCTAGTCTTTTTTTTTTTTTTTTTTTTTTTTTT